ATTTCCATATTTTTAAAAAATATTCCTGAAACAATTAAAAGTATATTAGCCACTTTGGATTCAGTGGTGAGCAAAAGAAACAATCACTGGCTTCAAAAAATTTACAGAGGACATTGCTAATCAGCTATTCTTGTTTTGAAAATCTGTAATATATGTATTGTTCTATGTTACCTTGTTTCTGTATTTTTTGTTTTTCTTGATCTTTTTATTCTTCAAAATAAAAGAAAATTATAATAAAAAATTTACAGAGGGAATTTTTAGACAATCATACATACAGTGACCAACAGTAATAGTAACATATAAAGAGTATGCCAATAAAAGGATATACATACTACAGGAATAGAAAAATAGTATTTTTTAAATTTTTTTTATTTTTTTCCATAATTTTATTGAGAAACAAATAGCAATGAGACAGTTTTAGGCTAAATTAGTAGGACAGTTTCAATAATTAACACATTGCATACATTCTTCCTAGTGGTTAATTGCTGTACAAGATGTGGACATGATATCCTATTTACAAACACTATTAGAACAAATCCTTCTATTCATTATGAGAATGCAACTATATATCTATCCTAGCCATTTTGAATACACAGATAAAAAATGGACATTCATCTGTATCCCCTTTTTTTGTTAAGTTCCATTATTTGAATATTACAGGTGTGTTAACTCAGTAAAATATTCTAAAAGAGTCCTAGTCCATAATAGTATTGGGTCTTCCACTTGACTGGCCATGTCAGAAATTGTTGACCAGTGTACCCTACAGCTCAACATAACCGCATGGCTTTACTTCTTATATTTCGTTTTTATAATTTTCTGCTGGATGGTTAAGACCAAGGTAAAGCAGGACCTGTGCAACAAGAGTAGTAGCTTTTGGGTCTGATAAGGTCAGTGAAATCCCCTCAAGATTTATGCTGAGATCCTGTACCTCAGATTGTAGAACCTTTGTCAGTGTCAGCCATGTGGATGAGTCACAGCCATTGCTTGGCCAATGTGTTCTCTGTGAAAGCCTGAGAGAATGTTTTCTCTCCTTGTGACTCTCCTTAGGCACACTCTACATCATCGATCATTTTCCTCTTTGGCCCTGTAATCTCCTTGATCAAAAAATTTGGGACACTACCGAGATACATGACGTTACAGTACAAGTTCTCATATGTGCTGAGTCTTAATTGACCTTGGAAGGCTAGGGCCAAAATGTTGGCTTTCCTTGCGGCCCTTTTTCTCTCATTTTGGTCTGCAAACTTAGGTTGTTAACCATCCAGAAGACAAGCTTATTGTTATTACCATATAACCTAGGCTGTTAAGCTTAACCTCAATATCTGTCTGAATATTAAACATCTTAGGCATAACATGGAACTGGTATTTTTCATCAAGTATTGATATGTTAAACTTTAAGTCCTTACAGAATACGATGAAAAAACATTTTTAAAAATTAAAATATATTGTAAAAATAGGCATAACAAATTATATAATTCTTATGTTTACACAAAAGTCCAAAAATCTAACCATATACAACCTTGAAGCAGGACAGTTCCACAACATTCCTTTTCCTGTCTCCTGCCTTCATTCACCACCCCCTACTATGGTTTTTTTTTTTTAAAAAACAGGTGGTGTTTTCCTCACATGAGGGAACCGTGAAGGAAGTGGCACATCACAGAAAACCCACTACACTGCCAGCCCTTGGAGAAGAAATTGAAAATGTATGTATGTGTAGCAATTTCAATGACCAAGGTTACCCAAGCAGTAGTTCACTGTACTAATAAATGTCTAGAAGCTAATGGGAAACACTTGGAGCACCTCTTGTACTTTTTTTGTACTTTTTAAAAATTTTAATTTATTTATTTGGTACAGGGTCTCTTTATGCTGCTCAGACTTGTAGTAATTCACCTGTCTTAGCCTCCCCAGTGCTGGAATTATAAGTATGTGCCACTATGCCTGGTTTTGGTGGCCCGCCCAACAGCACAGCATGTGGTACAGGGGATGGAACCCAGGTCCTTTGTGATTGCCAGACAGGCTCTTAGACCACTGAGCTATCTCCCCAGCCCCACCTCTTGTAATTGTAGCAAGTAAAGGTAACTTGTATTAATTTCATGATGTTTCAATAAATTTAGCATAGAACTATACAATTTTTTCTTTTCCTAAAGTGTTTATACATTTCTTTTTTATGACTCTGTGGTATGAAAGAAAAATACTAACAAAATTTATCATACGAGGTTCAAATTACTGTTAGGAAGATAAACAAAAAAGCAGGAAAGGTTGAAAATGACAAACAAATATAAATTCTGTATATTGAGTATATTCAGAAGCCTCAATAATAAAAAGTGTTTGCATAGTAGAATAATAGCAAAAAGAACGCCAGCCTAAAAATGGGTTTTACTCTGATGAGTAAGTACTCAAGAACAGGCTTACTGCTTCATTTTACCTTACTATCTGTGTAAGCTGGGATATGGTAGTCCAACCACCCTGGATTCGAGAACAATCTTGCCTGAGGACCAAGAGGCAATACTGAATGAGGTCATAACAATATATATCTTGTTTGATTTTCTTCAACTCTGAGCTTCCTAATGGTGTGCTGTTTATTATTTCTAAGGCAAAAGAAAACAAGATATGCTTAATTTTGGCTAGTACATTCAAGAACTACTTGATTTTTAACATAGGAAATAATCACAGAATTATATCCAATAGGAAAAACTATTGCTATGCCACACTATTAAGATTTCTCTAAACAAATCAGAAACAAATGTTAAGATAATCAAGATAAGAACTGTTCTTAACTTACATGTTACTTAACTAGAAAATTATTTACTTACCTTTTAACTTCAACAAAATAACAGGCACACTCTGTTCAGGACTTTTGGCAACTTCAGCAGCTAGAGACAAGATTCTTGGGTCTGTATCTGTCAGCTTCATTTCTAATCACCTGTATCTTAATAGAATCAGAAAATATGAAAAAGTCTTCAAATATTCCTTCCCTAAATAACTCTTGAAATGTAGGATTAATGTAAATGAAAATTTAGCTTTTCTTGCCTTGAGAGGTAAATGGTACAATCTGTTTGTTTGTTTTCCTTATTTTGAAACTTGTTTTCAACCAATGCCAACTCTAAAAGAATTCTAGATCCCTCCAGCTAAAAGTACACTTATTATGTACTAAGAGTCAGGAACTCTGCTATGAGTTACACATTCACTCTCTCTAATCTGCACAATTTTAGGACAGAATTTGTACAGGAGAAACTGAGTGTGCAAAAACGGACTTTTATGGGCTGGGGAGATAGCTTGGTGGTCTAAGTGCCTGCATGGCAAGTGCAACAACTGGGGTTCAATCCCCAGTACCATATTCCACACCACCCCAGAGCCCGTGGGTGTGCCATGCTGGCCGCTAAAACCAGGTGTGGTGGAGCATGTCCATAATCCTAGCACTGGGGAAGATGAGACAGGATGCTCACTTTGAGTCTGAACCGTGTAACAACATCCTGTACCAATTTTTTTTTTTTTAAAGAGGACTAATATGACAGACCAGAAACTGCTATCCTTTCAGATGTCTGCTTGTGAGGTTGATCCTTGGCTGACATCTAGAATGTGGATTTCATGAGGACTCTGTTGTTTTTGTGTTTTGTTTTTCCTAAAACAAAGTTTTATGTATAGTCAAGGCAGCCTTAGAACTTGCTATAGAACATATTCCCTGCTAATGTTTTGGATGGGAAAAAAGTGTATTTTGAGTCCACCTATATACACAAATGTAAATATGCATAAAATTCTTAAGTATGTAAAATGTATATTAAGTGCTTGATGGATGACAGGTAAGATTTTAGATCATACAATTAAAGGACTCTGGTTTTCTGAACCAGTTTTTTTGTTTTCTTTTCTTTTTTTTATCTGTAAACACTTCCTACAAGAAAAAGTAGCCACTAACGATAGTTCTAGGCTCTAGAAGTTGAATGCTTACCTTCCCTCTGAAACAGTATACCTTAGAAGGAGTAGAAATTATAAAAATGATTTGAGGGAGACATATGCACTTAAGTACTTGGATCAATAAACTGACAAATCTACATAATATAGAAAACTGTAAGTAAAGGTATATAATTTGATTACATAATTACCTTGAAAAATAACTATCTAATATTACAACCATTTGTAAATGTTTCTTGAGGTCTTCTCCTCTAATACAATGCTTCTCCCATCTGCACAATATATTCATGAACATTGACAAGGAAAGACAATTATTAATCATTGGTGTTAATAGAATTACCCTGTTGGCAGAACACCAGTTCCAGCCTCAGCCTTGATCCTTCACGAATTACTTTTCCCTGGCCAGGCTCTTCATTGTTTCCACAAATCACTCTGATGAAAATAAAGAAAGAAATTATCCAGTTGCAGTTGATCTTAATCCCCTGCAGTTCTTAATTTTGAATCCTCATTTGTCCGCCTCCTCCCATTCTAATAGCACTGGGAACTTTTTCCGTGACTTAAGAGGCAGGAAACGATTGCCAGGGAAACAGCGTCGCTTCCAGGCATGTCCTAGTGCCCAGGATCTGGGACCGCAGGCTCCTTTACCCCGGATTCCAGACCTGGCTTTGGCTCTAACAGGCTTGTGCAAATCACCTGCCCCCAAACACTGCCCTTCCTCAGGCCTCAGTTTTTACCCCTGATCCCACAGAAAGGCCGTGGAGCAGCCAATTCTCCCGTCAGGTCACACAGGCAGGTCACTTGGTCCAGGAGCCTGACATAAAGGCCTCCCAGAACTCCATCCCCTTCAATTCTCAGTCGCCACCTCACTTCACCTAATCCTGGATTCACGTTCCTCCCCACCCGACAAAGGACTCTACTCCCACCACCAAGAGCACTCAGGATTTCTCCACGCAGCGTGCTTACGTCACTCTGCGGGGCAGGGCTGAGGGGCGCCCTTCGCCAGACAGCCAATCGGAGCACGCGCGTCAGGGGCGGGGCGGGGTCTGTGATGGCTGAGTTGGCGGTGGGCCACAAACACAGCTGTTCAGGGCTGAGGTGGCAGATGGTGGCGAAGTCGGAGCCGGGGAAGAGTTATGAATGGACCAGCAGGACTTGCGCAATTGGGCCGTCGCGAGCGAGTTCTCAAGTTAGGCGAGAGTTTCGAGAAGCATCCGCGCTACGCTTTCCACACTGTGCGCTGTGAGTGAGGACTGCGCCAGGGACCTACAGGGGTCTCCGGGGTCGGGCTGAGTTATTTTCCTGCAGCCCCCTGGCTCTTCTGAACTGGGGGTCGGGGCAGGTGATCCGTCCTCCTGCCTGGAGTTCTAGGGGTGCGTGGTAGGAGCTGGCGTGCAACAGGTCTGGGTAAACCCCGGGTGAGACCCGCAAACAGGGACGGAAAGTGCCGGGACCTGCCCAGGTGATTGGAGGTAAAATGACAAGTGGAGGATGCGCAAGTGGAAGGGAAAATGACGTGATGAATGGAGAAAGGACGTAATGCAGGGCGAAGGCAAGGCTGGTGGGACAGTATTCTCTGTCTTCACTTCTGATGTTAAGGGTTTTTATTTAGAGTGTTCTCGAGGAGAGGTTCTCAACCATCCCAATCGTCTGTTACCCCGTTTGGACCCCAGATCTCATTGTCAGCTGTCAAGTACTGATTACTTGACAGTATGGATTGGTAGGTGTGGTATTAATTTATGGAGATTTTGCCTCCTTGTAATTTCTCCCTTTAATTTTCTTATGTTCTCTGGAACTAGTTTTAATTACTTTCTTTTATGTGTTGTTGAAATATAGAGCTTTAAAAAGCTCTTGAGGGTTAAGGACATAGCTGAGCAGCTTAAGCGCCTGCCTGACATGCAAAAGGTCGTGAAATCGATACACACACCAAAAAAAAAAAAAAAAAAAAAAAAAGAAACCAAACCTCTTGATTTAGCAATTGAATGACACAAATTCCAGGAAGAAAAAATAATACCATGTGTTATTTTCTATGTAAAACATTCCTCTTTTGCATAATAACCCTGGTAAAATCCTAGGCAGGAAGGAAAGTTTGAGATCACTGAAACATAACCTCTTATTTTTTCTGTGGCAAAATGATAAGGTGAGTATTTTTTCACTTCCTTTCTCCAGCTTAGCCCCCCTTCTCCTGTCTCATGGTTCCCCCTTGCTCATTTTGTCAGGTTGTCCAGAAATCTTTATGATTTATGCTCTTACATGTTCCGTGGTTCAATCAAAACATTCAATTAAAAACCAGAAACTCCAATCTAATATAAAAGTAGGAAGAACCAATGGCTTAAATCCTTCAAGGATTTATTGATATTTTATAAAAGGATTTTATTAAGCAAAATTGACAACCATTTGGTGGAATATGTGGGTAAGATATTTGGCAACAGATGTTCATCGTTATCCCTTTTTATTCTTCTTTGTGTGACCACATTCTGTCATCCAAATTCCCACAGTGAGACAGCAAGTGCTTTGCTGACTGAGTCTCTCTCTGTCTCTGTCTCTGTCTCTGTCTCTGTCTGTCTCTCTCTCTGCCTCTCTTTCTCTCTGTCTCTCTCTCTGCCTCTCTGTCTGTCTGTCTCTCTGTCTGCCTTCTCTCTGTCTGCCTCTCTGTCTGCCCCTCTCTCTGTCTGTCTGCTTCTCTCTCTCTGTCTCTCTGCCTGTCTGCCTGTCTCTCTGTCTGCCTCTTTCTCTCTGTCTGCCTCTCTCTGTCTTCCTCTCTCTGCCTCTTTCTCTGTCTGCCTCTCTCTCTGCCTCTTTCTCTGTCTGCCTCTCTCTGTCTGCCTCTCTCTCTGCCTGCCTCTCTCTCTCTGTGTGTCTCTCTCTGTCTGCCTCTTTGTCTGCCTGTCTCTCTCTGTCTGCCTCTCTGTCTCTCTCTGTCTGCCTCTCTCTGTCTCTCTGTGACTGTCTCTGTCTCTCTGTCTCTCTCTGTCTCTCTCTGTCTCTC